TATCCTAATTTTAACATGTTAGCATTATATACTCAACTAGGTCAGATGAAAATGATTGTTGCAATATCATTCAGGCTAATATTTAAGGGATAGCAAGCTTGATGTGATTTCATTCCCAGGGGTATCTACGTTTTAAAAAGGAATGCCTTAACCTATAGATGAAGTTAAACTATAAAGATAGAGCACCATGGAGCTTCAGGGTGGGGGCTCTTCCAGCATCCATCAAAAATGCCCTGTGAGAAACAGCTAAACCCTCATCGGCATACTTAGGCCTCAACTCTCCATCTGTCACATAGGGATATAACCCCGACTTTATAGGATTATTATAATATAGGGATATAATATGACCTCATAGGATTACTGTGGGGATTAAACCACTTGGTTAATCATTGTTATAAACCTCTCAGAAAGCTAAAAATTACTATGCAGAAGTGAGAGTTTCTAGTGACTTCTGAGTTTTGCCTTTAACCCACTTGATCTACCTCCATTGGGGTCTAAAGAGATGGGAAACCCCCTGCACAGTGAGTCTATTTCAGTCAGATAGGATTGTGACTTCTAGCTCTACTACTTGCTGAGCTCAACTACAGATCAGTTATCCAAGCTCTAGTTTCTCAACCACCCACAAAAATATAGTCCCAATTTCTTGGATGGGCTGCAGAGAGACCACTTTTACCACTGGCAACAGAGATCGTCTTGGACCTACTCACTAAGTTGTCATACCAACACTGTGTGAACCAATAACTGAGCCAAGAACATGCTTCAAGAAGATAAAACTTGCCACTATTTCACTTTGAACGAGAGCTCCACTCCCAACCATAACAAATCTTTATGTTTTTATTGAGAATGGGTTTTATAGCACTTCAAAGCCTGCTGTCTTCTTCCCAAGATATTAAGGCATAGTGTATACCTTCTTTCACCACTTCGCATGCCTAGTTTCCTTAGAATATTAGGGGTGTACTTGATTATCTATAAGTAATTAAATTCTAGATATTTGAGGGGTATTAAATTATGGGAAAATGAAGATTTCATAATTCCTGATCAAAATGTCACAGAAGGATAGTACTGAAGAATATCCTGGGACATTCACTTTATCTTACAGAGTGGGGAACTGAGACCTGACCTTAAAGCCACATACTGGAGTTATGAGGCAGATCTGAAATGTGGACCTGCGGATGGTACATCCACTCTACCATATAGTGTCCCTTCCCCTCTGTTGTGCATGCCATTGGCACTAATGCAATCAGTAGGTGCCCTTTCTTATAACTACCCTATTTTGCCATTGTTCTCTAGGAATTAATAAATAAATAACATCCCACCCATATTTTAATCTTCTTCTACCCTTCCCATGGTTTTCTCATCTTTCCTCCTCAGGTTTCAGGTCAGTGCTGTGAACTAATAGGCCTTTAACTCAACACGTTTGCAATGACCAATGGAATGGATGAATAAATGGCTGCCCAAGTACCTGTCACCAGCACTTGTTCTCTGTCATAAGATACAACCACAAGGACACTGGGGAAAATGGGGGTGTGGAGGACAGCTCAATGGGCCACCTGCAGTAATGTTCTGTGGCCTATAGCCAGTGTGCATACTTTGAGAGAGAAGAGAGAAGGACCTCCATGGGGATGGGAAGAATGCTGCCCCCTGCCAACCATCTCTGTGGTGGTAAGGCTGATGACAGCATGCAGAGCACACAACACTGGCTCGATGCCAAACATCTGGGCTCAAAACCAAGCAACCAAGTTGTTCAAATCAAAGAAAACCTAATCAACAAATATTTTCAACGCCTACTATGCGCATTCAGAGAGCCATGGTTAGAATGGATGACATTTGAGTCTTACTCAGCCCTACAAATTCCACTGTTCTCTGTTCCAGATGCCTGATATTATATTAATCAAATATTCATGTTTTGAATTGAGCATCTGTTGGCATATGTTGATGTACAGATGAAACCAAAAGTAATGAATTATTTCTCCAGTACATTAATGGTACTCTTGTCAAGCTCCCTAGAGTGAGGCTGAGGATAGTTTACCTCAAGCCACCGGCCATTTCTAAGATTGCCATCCTTCTTGCTGTTTCCTGCTCTATCAGAATGCAGAGAAGCTAGGAGGGCCATGCTCCCTCTCTTAGCTCCAGGGAGATATTCAGGTGAGGACACCACCAGAGGCAACATCTTTCTGAAATCACTGGTTGCCTTTAGGCTCCAAAGCACTCAATGCCAAGAGGGAACCTTGTGCACAATTTGGCATCTGTGGTACTCCAAGAACAAAGGATATAATATCCCTTTGTTTCTGGACATCCTAAAGTAAAAATGACATCTTGGCTGACAATTATGATTTTGCATGCTATTGTAAATCATGTTATTTCTGAAAGAACTTAAAGCAGGTGAATGAACAGTCAGTTGCCTCCTTTCTGGCATTTCACCTATGAGGACTGCCAGGGCCTTTACTAATATTACCACCAAGGATTGTAGTTATGAAATGAATAAAGTCAAGGGATTTGCTTTTAGCTTGCTTTAGGCCATTTACTGTTTTCATTCTTCAATAAGAAGAAACAGCCACTGAGGTGAAGATGGGAAGACCTCTCCATATGTGATGGCGGTCTCTGATTTTTCAAGGTCCCCTAGCTGTTGTCAAATAGGCTTTGTACACACTTCAGTTAGTACAATCTTGCTTGCCTTCCCTGCTTTCACAATGACCTCTAAGCTACTCAAAGTCATCAGGTTCTTCCAGAGGCCTCACCTCCTCCAGGCACTGTGGCACCAAGGACAAGGACCTGCATGATAATTATGACAGGGAGTTTATGGATAAGGAAAGAGGAACCACTAAAGCCATGCTTGCTCATCACATTCCCAAAAGGAAATTAGAGGTGAGAGAATCTGGAAATTTGGGTGTCAACACCCTGGGGTTTGTGGCTCCCTCCTTAAAAGTGTGAAATCTAAGACCCATTGGTCATTTCCCTTTTAAACTAACCCTGCCCACTGGACAGGGTGATCTCTGCAGCTGGTTTGCTCCATGAGCCACCAGGTTTTCTTATTGTCTATGCTCACCTTAAGAAAAAGTACATTAAAAAGTATTTTTCTCAGGAATTTCACCTCTAAATCTCTGCTTCCTTTCCTAGGCACATGAATCAAACTGGACAACCTATAGGAAAACTAAAAATTCCTATATCCATGGACTATGCTATGCTGGACAGTGCTCTGAATAAAATTAGAAAAAGACGCCCCACGGGGAGGATGCACCTACAGACACATAGCTTGACGAGTGGAGCCTGGGCCAGATTTTGATCCTGCTGACTTGCCTCCTTGGTTTATGGAAATCTGGTAGTACTATCTCACCCTTAAACCCAGAAGCTGGATTAGGTTCTAAATTGTCTGTCTCCTCTCTTCTGAGCTCCACTCTGATCCCCTGTACTATAGAAAATACCCCAAGTCTCTTTTCAAGAAGAAAGCTTTCCGAACTGCTTCATCAACAACAAAAGTTTCAACCCAGAAGTCGAAACTCCTTTTATATTCTCAACCCCACCCCCAGCCCATTAATGACCTCACAGAGGAGAAAGGGTTTGGGAGACGGGTGGAGGATATCCATACCTCCTCTTGCCTCTATCTACATCCTACTAATTTTGTTCTACCTTTCTCATTTGACCCTTTACTACAGTAGTTCTCCACTAACTCAACTTTTTTGTTACCAACTTTGCTTGTCTGCCCCAAAATGGAAAGACAAAAATTCTAAAGCAACAGTGCCTATACTCTTCCCATGCCAACACCTCTGTGGAATTTTGTAACCCAAAGATGACCCTAGCCTACATGCTGGAATTTCTTTACCATTGAAGAACTATTTCTGCAAAAAATTTTGAAGTTGTCATGTTCATTTAAAAAATAAGATGATAAAACACACACACAAGCCATTATTTGTAAAATGCCTACAGATGATGAAGAGGAATGCATATCAATATATACACATGCATGCAGATGAACGAGGGGAAACATGTGTATGTGTCTACCCATGGAGGCCAAGACGAACTTTTCAACTGAAGAGAGTGATTAAATACTAAGGAAAATGACAGGAATCAAGAGCGATTTCAAATTTCTTGTAGTTGTCCTTCTACTACACACTGCAGACTAAAAAAAAAAAAAGTATTCTCAGAATTCCGTTTAAATTTGAAACCTAAATTAGCTTCAAAAAGCAGTCACATGGGTGGCATATATGCAGGGGTTACCAAGCAGGGGTCTCATTGTGGTATGAGAATGATTGCTAGCTAGAAAGGGGGATTTTCTAGTTCTCTTCTGGTATTGCTTAGCTAAATAAACTCTGACACCTCTGCCCTTCTGTGTTTGATATCTTAGATTCTTTCCAGGATTTACTAGTGTTCTGTGGTTATATTTCTTAAAAGTTACATGGATATTTAGAATAATGACTACCATGTCCATGATAACCACCAATGCCACCACCATTATCATCCTGACTTCTTTTCTTTCTAGAACAATTTGCAATTGCCCGGCTATACCTGTACCTTAAAGAGGTGAACAAAAAATTGATTTCCCCAGTTTGCAAGGAAGAATAGATAGAGAATTTTTAGACTTAACCAATAAATCTGGGTGGTGCCAATTTCAAACTTCACAAATGCCAAAGAGCCCAGTGCAAGACTGTTTCAAACTCTAATGATGGAAGACCCTTCTAACTGGGTTTCCACAGTAGCTATCAAGGGTAATAATGGAAAGTCCAAGAAAAACTTGATCTTCAGAGAGCTTAGGCTCTGCTTATGGTCTTGAGTTTGGGCCAGGTGCTGACTTTTCAAATGCTTCCCAAATACTCCCTAACCTAACAATTTGGGACATTCAGTGCTAACTCAGTGTGTCTTCCTTTTACCACGAGCACTCATGCAACTGTTTATACTGCTTATAACTTACAAGGTTGGACATGTCATTCCTCTACTACACAAAAAATTAGACTCGGCTTCTTAACCCAAAGATATCCTAAATAAGAAGGTCATTTTGTTTTTGTTTTAATATAGGGCGTGTCATGAATTGGCACACCATCCTTGCACAGGAGCCATGCTAATCTTCTCTGTACCATTCCAATTTTAGGATATGTGCTGCTAAAGCAAGCACAAGGTCTATTTGAGAGACAGAATGGTAAGTGGTAAAAATCACAGGTTTTGGAATCACACAGAGCAGCAATAACTTTAAGTATCTATGTTAAGAGAGGGTAGCACCTGAGAATACCCAGACGTGTTTTTTGCATGGATTATTCTTCCCTTACCTCATTTGGATACAGTTGTTGGCACATAGATGTACTCAATAAATATTTATTGAATGAAATTAATCCATTCTCATATTAAACAAATTTACTTTCACTTAAAGGGCACTCCATAATCTTTAAGTAATCTGATACTGTGCTCCTTGCAATTTCTTTAAGATAGAGTTCTGGGTTTGAGATATTGGTGTCTTTGTTACCTCATCCATAAAGCTTCCCTGACAGCTCCAGTCTAACTTGCTCTCTTTTTTCTGACTCCCTGTTATACTTATTCCAGGTTCCACTCACTTTGGCACACATATGATATCTTATCTTGCCATGTAAAATGTGTTTCATAAACACATCATCCTTCCTAAGAGCCTATAAGTTTTTCAAGGGCAAAGGCCATGTTTGATATTTATTTTGTATGTCTCATAGTACACAACACAATCTAGAGCCCATAGCAGGCTCTGAACAAGTACCTGTTAAATTGAGTTGCATTTTAAGGACAGCATTCCATTGCCAGCGATGATTTTGTTTCAGAAAGTTATCAAAAGGCTGTATTCACCACTCATTTCACCCAAATTAAGCCCATGGGTTTCTACACTTGAAGTGCTAGTTAGGAAGCAGAGGATCAGAAAGCAGCTGCTTACTTTCAACAAAGAAGAGATTGCATTTCAGCAATGGATTGCAGGATTTCACGTATTAGTCACTAGCGACTCCTGGACAAACCCTGTGGTCTTATCAGGAATAAAAAGTAACCAAGAGTCATGTCAAATAACAATGTCCAATTACTCTTCTGTAACGCATTTCTGCCACTTGGGAAAACCCCCAAGGGATCTGTTGCCCCTTATCAGCTCAGATCGGGCTTACCTTTCAAATAGGTAACACTCGGCAGCACCCAGTTCAGCCTCAATATTACACTGTCCTTCTCTGACACTCGCATTCTCTTGTGAAGTCTTCAATATTGGCTTACAGTGTCACTGGAGACCTGGCCCAAATGTGGAAGGTCTCCTGATATTATACCCTGAACCTTCTGCATTGGAGTGGGATGGGGATAACAAACACCTGCAGTGAGCTGTTGTCACTAAGGTTTCCTAAGCCTTAACTTGCACTGAGATGTTGAATGTGGGCACAAAGACTCATGCAGCACCTTTGCATCGTCAACTCCAGCCAAACGGCAAAGAAATAAGAGAGTCTTAACTTTGATACTCAAAACACAGAACAGCATTTCTACCCTCCAGATCACAGAAAGCAGGCCACAAACTAATTGAAAAAATCTTTGGTATTAGGGATGTTAAAACTGAGGATCTGCAAAAAAACAGAAATCACATGTCCCCTTTATTACAAAGTAATGGGAAAGAATTTGGAAAAACCAGGAAACATCTCTGGGTTCATAAATCAGCCCAGTTGGAGGGAAATGCAAATGGCCAGCACCTGGAATGAGCCTTCATCTGGAGCCTGGAGAGCAGCAAGGCTGTTCACTGTGATTAATGACTTGAGTGAAAGGTCTCAGTTGAGGCTGAACAATTAACTTGTTCTCTCCACATCTCAGAACTCTCCACAGCATAACTATGTCTTCCCTGATTGTTCATATTTACTAAAATGCAAGCCAGTCTGGGAAGCTTCGAACATGTCATTGGACTATTTCTGACAATTGGGAGAGTCCTGGTGTTTGACAGGACTACTTTCATCAAATCATTTGTGTTGACTGCATGCACGTCTTAACCTTTCAGTTCCTTTTCAAGTTTAAGAACTATCTTAAAAGAGGCAATGGCATTGGCCTCGATCTGTCGAAGAAAGAAAATTTCAGCTCAGAGGATTGCAAATGGACAGCATATGGCCTGGCTTGTTTCTGGTCATTCCCCCAAAAAAGTTCTTAGGGAATTGAATGTCCATGAGATTAATGGTTCCCTCCTGTCCTGCCTTTATCCTCTGGAATAGGTTTCTCTAATCTCTTTCAGACCCTCTCAAGCATTTACATTAAACCAATCATTCCTCCTGAATCAACAACCAAGACTCTGATAAGACCTATTAGAACCTAAGGAAGTCTCCAAACCTCCCTCCCTTTCTCCTGGAGGTGAATTTGTAGATGGGAAAGAAAGACAGGTACCCCAGAACCTCATTTTGTATGTGGAAGTACCCAAGGAATCTGGTTTCTTCATTTGACCTTCTAAACCTATTTCACTTGTGACAAATGGATGTACCCAAAGTGGATACGGCCCCACACGTAGTAGGATTGGAAGGGTACTGAGCGGCGTGGCTAAGAACATCCACCCCACTGGCCTGCCACAAGAGCTGATCCTTTACCTCCCCTTTACAACCCCATCCACAACCACTTTTGTCAGTGAAGGCATCCTGCCTCCAGAAAATACAAAGATACATCAAAAACAATAGTAACAACAATGATAACAATAATAGAAGCAGGAACAACAATAACATGTATATAGTATTTACTATGGGCCACAAACTCTCTAAAACACTTCCCTTATATCAACTCATATGATCCTCACAACAACACTACTAAGATAGGTGTTGCTATTATATCCAATTTACAGAGAGAGAGAGAGAGAGAGAGAATAGCCAAGTAACTTACCCAAGATCACAAAGCCAGGAAGTGGCAAAGCCAGGATTCAAACATAGGTCTCAGACTGAAGCTCTTCATGCTATCCTATAAAACCCTATATTGTAACTATGCTCTCTAGAAGTTTTGGTCCCCACCTGCAACTGCTGATGAGATTAGAGAAGCAACCCTTCCAGCACAGCACCCACTTAGGAGTCAGGCTTGGTAAGTCCTGTTTCTGCTACTCAGTGTGTAACTTCAAATGAGTTCTGAATCTCTGAGCTTTAGTTGTCCTCATCTGTAAAATCAGTATTGTACTAAGACCTACCTTATAAGGTTTTTGTGAGAATTGGTGAGATAATGCATATGCAGGACAGTACAATGCCTAGAACATGGTAGTTGTAATAATCATAGCTATGGTTATTATTAATCTGATTAGCTAATACTAACTAAAGCAGCTGGAGAAGATGAGCAGAAATGATCACAGCTTGGAATGTAGATATGAAAAAGCAGATCAGTGTGGTGACCCAAAGAGATTAGGATACTAGGATAGTAAGAAGTACTGGTAAGGGATACCTACATTCCTGGTCTGACCCAATTTACACAGCCTCCAGGTTAGCTTATCTCCATGAAAGAAAAAATTCTAATTTTAAAAATATACTACATCAAGAAAGAACAAAAACATGTCCAGACTGGGAGAATTAGAATATTCTCCCTGAAGTTCCTGGTGCAAAAGCGAGACAGTGAGGCATCCTTCACAGCCTCCTATGGCTGCTCCAGCATCAAGTTTGGAGCTGCATCCTTCATTCTGCATTTGCTACATGCTCTTGCCGACCCTGACACATCATATTCTTTGCATCAATAAGGACTGGTGCCAGAACACACTAAATTGCCTTTGACTGCATTTAACTGATCTAGTATTTTTTTATGATTCTTTCTTGTTGTACCATTTTTCACTTTTGACTTTATAATTCTCTGCTGACTTTAAATAAAGCGTTGCCAGACTACCCAAGGTGGTTTTTAATAGAGATTTAGGGGCAAGGTTGTGCTGTGGTTTGGATTCAGATTCTACTCCAGCAACAAGGGGAAATTAACTAGGTCGTTTCATCTCAAGTGCCCATTTATACTCAGAATGGACAGAGAGTTTATCTTCTTCTAAGCCTTGTAATCATGACACTATAAAGTGAGTTTCAAGAAATTAAAAATTAGGTAGCAATAGCTTCTCCACCACAAAACCACAACATAGTGTCCCTGTAAGCCTAGATGACTGGGATATACAAAGATAGGAGGGGAATCACTTGCTGAGTGACAGGGAGGAATTTAACCACATTATGTACTATGCCAAAGACAATGCTTGTTCTCCTTAAGTTGGGGAACTCAAATGACCCTACACCAGCTATGTCAGCCTGCCTCCAGACCCTCCTCCTTCCTCTGTGCTGTCCCTAGTCCCCACTGTCTTCTGCTCAAATGAAACACTGGAAGCCAGTTGGCCTTTCATCACTGGGAAAGGTGACCTGACTAGCAAAAAACCTGAGTCAGATAAGCAGTCAGTCCCAAAAACTGACATGTCATTTTTAGAGAGAATAATCTTAAGTTAACTATATCTTGAAAATATTAAATTAAATTAAAAAATAACTCTATATGATTTTGGCTTTGTCTTGCTTTTCATGATCATGCAATGCTTGTTTTATTACAAAGGGGATAGACATCACAGGTAAAGCACTGAGAACAAAAGTTTTAAAAAATATCTGTGTACCCATCACCAAGCTTACAAATAAACAAATCTCTTCAGTTGTTCCTCTCAGATTGGATTTCTCTGCCTCCACTTACCACCAGTGGTAAATGCAACCTTGAACTTCGAGTTTTTCATTCCATGGTTTTCTTCCTCGTTTGCCACTTATGAAATGACCCTTTTAAAATATTGTTTTAATATTGTTTTAATTGGCATTTTTGAACTTTATATAAATGATCTCATTCAGTGAGTTTCTTTCTCTCCCTATCTTATAGATTCATCCATGTTGAATGTTACTCAACTTTATTTAATAAACTATTTGGGTTGTTTCCAGTTTTTCTGTCTGTTTTGTTCTCTTTTGTTTAGCTATTACTGATAATGGTGTAAATATAGTTCATATTGATCTGAACATGTTCCATAGTTTGTCCTGGGTTAGTGTCCTGGGAAGAAAATTATGAAATTTTAGGGTTTGCATATATTCAGATTCACTAGAGAGTAACAAATTTTGTTCCACAGTAGATATGCTAATTCATACTTCCACCAAAACAGCTTTTGAGTTTCTGTTGCTCTACAGCTTTGCC